TCACAGAGATCCACCTGCCTCTGCCTCTGGAGTGCTGGGATTACAGGAGTGCGTGGATTACAGGAGTGTGCCACCACCCCTGGCTTCTAGGTGCTTCTTATTAAGTAAGCCCTCATTTCTATCTCCACCACCCTGGGAAATCCCTGTGTGTGTGTGTGTGTGTGTGTGTTTTTTTTTTTTTTTTTTTTTTTTTTTTGGTCTGATAAATTTGCTTGTTCTGCATGCTTCACCAAAGAGGAGTCATATAATACTTATTGTCTTTGTCTGGCTGATTTTACTTAGAATTACGCTCTCAAAAGCAACCATTGGTCTACACTGATGGGTAAATACTCTTCCATTATATTTACACACTTATCCATCTTCCACCACGGGTGGTGCGGATTATTTTCACCTTTTGACTGCTGTCTACAGTGCTGTTGTGAATGTAGGGCACATTTGGGTTCTAGAATGTTCTAAGCCGGCTGACAACTGAGTTGTATATCTCCTATGAGCACGTGAGTCTTGCCTCCCCTATCCTCTACTGTCACTAGGAGGCGTGGCCTTAGAGCAGGGCTGGGGATAGAGGGCAAAGCCAACTGCAGTCTCTGGAGTAGGATTTGGGCAAGGTGCATTGTCACAGAGCCACATCCTGTCATGTCTGCCCGTGCCTGCCTTTACAGCTGGTTTCTTCTGCTCATTCTGCTGCTCAAAAGACTCTTTGGTGTGATCTCTGCATTGGCAGCTGCTGCAGCCAGAGAGGCCCCTGGATATTCCCCGGGTTGCAGCCTGTGGAGCACAGGAGAGGGACTCCTTGGTGTCTAGTGTGGCCTGGATTCCTGCTGGTGTTCAGAGTATCCAAACTCCCTCTTGGACAACTCCCACAGTCTGCCTCAAAAGCTTTTCTCCAGGGAGAAGCCAGACCAGCACGGATAACTAGACTACGGGGCCTGTTCCCTCCCCTCCTTCCTTCCTGGTTCTTGCCAGCTCTCCCCTTGGTGCATGGCACTCCATGTTATTGGAGCATCTGTATGTGACGATGGAACAGAGCCCCAGGGTGAGGTAGCCTAGGAAGCCTGAGAGAGTTGTGTGTTTACACTCTTGTTTCCAACTCTGGCTGGGCCCTGAAACTGTCCAGGGAGCTTTTTAGAAGCATGGTTCCCTTGCGGCCCTTCCTCTAGAGATTCTGAGTCATTGCCAGGGTGATGAGGGCAACGGAGGAGAAAATTTCCAAGCGGAAGAGGAGATGGACTGCGGGTGGAGGCAGATCACTTCCAGCAGGTTGCAGAAAAAGCAAAGGTGGGGTGCTGTGAGGAGAGGGCTGCCCTCGGAATCAAACATGTGGCCGGAGCAGCTTGGGAGCCACAGGCTTCAAAGGTGAGCAGTGAGCAGGCGCCTTGACCACTCTGCTAAGGGGCTAGACTTGATCCGTCTGCCTTGCTGACCTCCAAACGGTGGCTCTCGGTAATCACAGCCGTTGACTTGGCAAGTGAAACGTGCTGAAAACGATTAGCACAAACAGCAGTTGGCCTGGAAAGTGTAACATGCTGAAAACACATGGCACAACCGGAGACTGCTCCCAGGGCCTGTGAGCAATTTTCTCCCAGAGATAAAACATTTCATCTCAGAGGGGAACCCGTGAAGCTCAGGCCAGAAGTAAACAGCACAGAAGCTTCAGAAAGTCCCTGAAACTGACCAAATCTACTAGGGCTCTCCCTCCCCCAGTTTATATAAGCTGTCAGGGGCTGTTGAGAGACACCCTCGGAGGAGCCGAGCTGCCTCAGAGAAGCTAAGAATGACTGACATGTCAGGAAGAGACATCTCTCCCCCCTGTTGCGCTGTCAGCTCTATGAGCTCTGGGTCCCCGCTTTTTGGGAGCCACACCCTATGCTGTGGTAGGCTTTGGTGAGGCAGCTGTTTGTGGCTAATCTCTGCTCCTGTAAGTTACCCCAGTAAACCCATTTGGTCCTTCAGTGGTATCCTGACTTTGATTTGAGAGGTTCTGGCTTACCCAAGATTACATGTACAGAGCCTGGTGCATTGTGGGAGTAAGCCTGCCCTGTGCTGGGTTGGACAGGATGTGTTGGACATATATGATGGAGAGCCAGCCCACACTGAATTGCCTCAGGAGCTCTCTGTGAGTCTGGAATCTAGGGACATTGGTGCCTGACTCAAGCTGCTATGACTAGGGTTCCCACGGCTCGCTTGGCTTCGAGTGTCCATCAGCATGGTAGTGAAATGTCTGCAGGCATCTGGCTCTCAGCCATGCATGGGCAGGATGAAGGGAAGACAAATTCATTGTTTGTAGATGTTTTCCTGGGAGAGAGACTATGAGCTGCTTCCAAGTCCACAGAAAACCTTATTCGGTTGACAGGAGTCCTCACGCCCGTTCCTGGGGGAGGTCAGAGGTCATCGAGGCCCATCTGGTCGCTGGGTGCATTTCTCCTCTCCTGAGGGAACACTCTCAGGGAATCCCTAGGAACACGGCAGGGGTTCTGAGGAAGGAAGGAGGCAAATGGACACAGTGGATGGAGATTTTGTTGACTTTGGGGGGCCTGATGTTAAAACTAAAAAACTTAACATAGTTCCTATGGCTTTGTGGCGTACATTCTCATTAAGCTTCGATTTCCAATCCCTTTCTCCCTCCCCAAGCAAAATCTTGAGAATTTATTTACTTGTGTTTTCATGAGTGTTTGCCTGCGTGCTCACGTGTACACCACATGTGTTCCTGGTGCCTGAGGAAGCAAGAGTGTCTGATCTCCTGGAACAGAGTTGCTGCTGGTTGTGAGCTGCTTTCCCTAACAGGTAAGACAGTGCAGAGGTTCCTCCATCTTGTATTCTTTCGGAGGCCATTTCAGCTTTACCTAGAATTTGATCTCTTTGGTGGAGAATCCCATGGGAAAGTACCTCACTCTACCCTAGGAACTCAAGGTCAGGATGCCCAGCTAACTGATCTCAGGGTCTGCTAAGCTGCCTGCTGCTGCAGAACCCCCCTCCAGCCAACCATTCCAGCTTCTGTCAAATTGCTTGCTTGCTTTGGAGAAGCCTGGCCCCATGAAGCTGCCAATCAAGTATGAGACCAAAACGGGAACAAGAACACCTCTTGCAAGTTAATGGGAGACCAAAGCAGTTAATATCCCTTGCAGATTAAGGATTCTGTTTGCAGTTAAGACAGTGGAGCATAAGTTCCTGTTTGTCCTGTGTTTGTTTGACCCATCTGCACGAGCGGTGCTGGATCACATGAGGGTGGGAGCTATGTGGGCAGGAAATACGTCAGAATGAATGCTTGCCCCTGATTGGGGTGAGTTGTGGGTTTTGCTTTTTTAAGCCCCTGCAAAATGTGACCTGCGGCCATTTTGTGAGAACCCATCCACCTAGCCAGTGTTTAATTAAAACTTGCTTCAAATTTGGCTTTCCGTTGTAGAAGTGGCCTTATTTTCGACTGGTAGGATTAACACAAGCTGCCCATGCTCTGGACACTCAGGGCTATCCCCAGGTCCCCAAATACCTGTCCCAGACTGCTATTCCAGAGGGCTGGGATGAAGACTTTCAGTTGGCTATAAACTGTGTCTGGGTGGTCATCTCTGGTGAACTCCTGTAACAATGTGTGTGCTGGCACGGATGCTGGAGTCCTCTGCAAGAGGAACAAGTTCTAACCTTGGCGTCATCTCTTTAGCTCCTGCCCCCAGAATCTTTAAAAAAACGTTGTATTATGTGTGGCTGCCTGTGCATGTCATGGCAGGTCTGATAAGAGGACAACCTGCAGGAGTTGGCTCTCCTTCCACCATGTGTGTTCTGGGAATTGAACTCCTCAGGCCTGGAGACAGGTGCCTTTACTCCCAGAGCCATCTAGCTGCCCTTCCCCCTTATCTTTTAGGGAAGACCCACAGTGTTTATTATTCATGCTAACTCTCTGCAGCATGTTTTAACAAAGGCTTTCAACATCCTCTCACCAAATCCTTCTGGCTATAAAGCAGATCCCCAAAAGCGGGATACATCTTTTTAGTGTCTCCTCTAGGCAAGTCCTAGCTTCACCTGAGCCTGGACCTGTTCTGTACCTGATGTCATGGCATCACTTGGAGATGGCCCCAACCAGTCCAGAGGTTCCCCTTGGGCTGGTCCGCACACCAGGTGGACCGTGAATGGAAGGAAAGATAGCACCCTGCTGTGCACAGCACTTGGCATTGGATAAATTATGGTCTCCTTAGCAATCTTTAGTTGGCATGAAGGTAACTGGGTATCTGTAGAGTTGGAATGTAGGGTAACGTTGTCGAGGAGTTCTGATGTCTGGAAGGCACGGCTAGCCAGATTAGTGCGGTCCCCCTCTGAGCAGGTGTACAAGTTTGCGTGCTCCCCATGTGTGCAGTCTCCAGGGATGCTCTGCAGCAGGTAGGAACCATCCGAGGTCATGCTCCAGGCTGAACAGTGCAGAGGGAGCAACCCTCAGGAGCACGACTTTCAAACTGGGCTCTGCAGAATTCTGTGAGGCACCTCTGTGACCTTACCAACAGAATTCAAACTCCACGTGGGTGGTAAGACAGTCTGATGCTGACGAGGGTAGCCCAGTGGAGGGCCCGAGTTAATGGCTGCCTTTTGTAGCTGATTACCAGCCTCACTGTCCCCACTGGATTACTTAAGTGACGTGACTGACACTCCCGGTAACAGACACGTTATATCTTTCAACAGTCGATCATTCCCTTGGAAGGAAAGGCTTGCTGCAATCTGAAAAGCACTGGTGGGCAGCAGGTGCGGGAGACAGGCAGTGTGGGGACCCAGAAAAACAACGTACGTGAAAGCAGTCAAACTCAGTCTTTTGAGCGTTTCTTTTTTTTCTGTTTTGGTCAGTGTTGGCTGCATGTAGTTACAGACACTCAACCAACTCCTCTCTGCCCTGAATCAGTAAGGTCCAACAACCTAAAACGGAAGTTAAAATTGAAGGCCCCATCAAGTATGAATGCAAAGTCCAGTGAACATCTTCAAAACAGCCCTAGTGCAGACAGAAACAAAACTCTCAAGAGACAGGAGCAGGTCACAGGGTCCACACTTTATTGTACGTGGCTGAGGGGGAGGAGGCAAGGAACCCTTCCAACTCTGCTTCCTATAAGCTTGCTGCTCTCCACCCCTCCCTGGGGCTGAACTTCAGCCTACTGGATTACTAATTCATAAGGCACAGAAGCAAAGGCCAGTTGGTGTCTGGAAGGAGCGATTTAGAGAACCAAGTGCACCAGTTTCCACCTCCAAGAAGGTATTTTCACCAGGACGAGGGCCTTCCTGGTCCTCACTGAGGGAGAGTCACTTCTCCAAACAGATGAAAGCATTACTTTAAATTCAAAATGTAAATGCAACTTGAGTCCAGGGGGGACGTACTATGCACACCTGTAGAAACCCCAGCTGGGTTCAAGGCTTATAAACAGGGTGTGCGTGGGGGAGGGGGACGGAAGTTCTGTATGGGGAGCTAAGAGCAGTCAACAGTGCTGCTGCAGCAGGGAGCCATTCTTTCAGGCTTCTCCAGTTGAATCAAGAGCCTCAAAGCTGTTGGCAAAAGTCACCAGCAAGCTTTCCAGGCCAAGGGAAGGGTGTCACAATAAGAAACTGCGGCCCTGAGGGGTGGGCCGCTTCCTCTATTGGTATCAACGTTTTGTGTGAGGAAAACAAAACAAGTCAGACAAAGTGTTTTCCCTCTGCAGAGGGAGCTAGCTTAGCATGGTGTCTATGCACAAAGTCCTCAGGCTACTCACGTAGGATTAGTAATCACAATATTTCACAGTATGCAAGAGTTAATAGTATGCAGACAGCGACGTATAATGGTTTTCTTATAATTTTTAAAAAGTACTTCAGTACTTAAGCTATTCAAATGGGCATATAACAATTATTTATACAACTTAAAAAGGTATTTTTTAAAAATCAAAATGATTTAAAAATCTGATACATGAAAATCGGCAAAAACTCAGAAAAGAAGCACTTTCTATGGTAAAAATTGGGCTGCTTTTGAAGGCAGCACAGAGGGGACTCATCACGAAGGTTTAAAAACTGCACCTACTGTTTTCAAGAGGACTAGCACAGCAATGCAGCCGGTCTCAGAAGGGCCAGTGGGAGCCTTTTGTTGATTGATCATTTCTTGGGTTCTGAGAGGATCAAGCAGGAAGAGAGGATTATTCCAAAGCACAGTTTGGGCTTACAGCAGGGAGATGGACATTGAGGAAATATCTTTCCTTAAGAGTCCCAGAAGGGCTGGGCGGTGGTAAACTCACACCTTTAATCCCAGCACTCGGGAGGCAGAGGCAGGTGGACCTCTGTGAGTTCGAGGCCAGCCTGGTCTACAGAGTACAGGACAGAGGTGCAGGACAGCCAGGGCTACACAGAAAAACCAAAAATAAAATAAAAAACAAATTCCCGGAAGGGAAGGCACAGGTGGCCCTGAGAAGCGGGTGGCACAGGTCTTCACTGTGGCAGAGCATTTACCCAGTGGGGTCCTGTGGCCTGTCTAGGCTGTGTCCCTTGTTCTGACTTGACTGCTCGCACACAGCTCAGAACAACTTAAAGGAAGTCAGAAGAGCGCTTCAACCTACTCCAGAATAAAGACATAGACTTAAATGAAGAGTAAGATTATTGAACGTAAACTCTCCATCTCTGTCTCTCTGTGTTTACAAGCCAACATTGTTTTGGTGCTGAGGATTAAACCCAGAGCCTTGGGCATGCTGAGCAAGTGCTGAGTGCTAAGTACTAAGCTACACTGCTAGCTCCAGAGTAAGCCTCTCATCTGCTTTTATGGCTCCTACCCGCTCTAAGAGCCCCACATTCTACACACAGAAAAAGGGGGAGAGGGTGGACGGTCAAGCTTCCTGCTAATCTCCCCGTGAGTTAAAGGCTATTTTGGTCCCCACTTTACACTGGGAGGGGTCAGCGCAGCTCTACATGGACCTGCACAGCTCAGTGTTTAAAAGTCATGATGCTCTGCAGCATGTCGATGGGCAGAGGGAAGACAATGGTGGAGTTTTTCTCCGCAGCGATGGTGGTGAGTGTCTGAAGGTACCGGAGCTGAAGGGCCGCAGGAGACTCGGTGATAACTATGGAAGCTTCTTTGAGAGCTCTGGACGCATTCATTTCCCCCTCAGCTGCGATCACCTATGGAGCGGGAGGAAGAGGTCAGTCGGCAAATAGCACGATGCCACAAAGCAGTCTTCAGGGGAGGGTTCAAATGCCTTAGACAACATATGGGAACCCAGGAACCCAGTAATCCCTAGACACTCGGTTTCCAGGGAGTCTCCTTCCTGAAACTGAATTGCTTAAGGCTCTGTCTGGCTCGAGGCACTCTCTCTTACTGCTTCCTGGTCGCTCATTGAACAGCCCACAGCTCTGCAAAGGGGTGAGCAACTGACCTTAATGTGTGGATACAAACCTTTTGCAAGTCAGATGGATTTCCAGTCCTTTGAAATCAAAGAAAGGAAGACTTCACTGAACTGAAAACCGACAGGTCTTGTTTGATAAAAGATGGCAGTACAGGTTTCAGCACACTGACTTGCGTGCATGCCAGGAGGCGTATGGCAACAGTCAAAAGCTCTGCCTCCATCTACTTCTGTAAATGAAGTTTCATAGTTCTAGCAACGTAAAACCTAATAAGGTTAGTCTGCATGCTGTCTCTTTCTAACAACGACTGCTAACTGTCCACGGACATGTGAGTGACTCCCCGTGCCCTGCACCAGAGCAGCGTATCTAGGAAGGATGACTTTGGAGGAATTCTGAGACCCTTGTAGACTCCCCTGCAGACCTACAGAAAGCTTTCAGTCTGGCCCATCCGAAATATACCGCTGCGGGATGATAAACTGATTCCCTTGGTCATACTGTTTCTGCAGAGCAACAGAAAAGCAGTGAGTACTCTCCACTCTTGAGATGAGGCAGCATTTCATGGCATCATCATGAGGCAGATGGTGAAGGGCTGCTGTGGCACACTGCTGGTAGACAGGAGCGTGCACCTGTGAGCTACATGCTGAGGAGTGCAGCTCCCAGCCAGGGCTCTGAGAGCATCCAGCTTCGGTAGATACCGCTAGGCTGTCTTCCAAAGGGGTGGTACCAATGAACACTCCCACACTGGAACACAAGCGCCCCAGCTCCTGCCTCCCCACTGCTGACTCTTCTCACCTTGTGTTTCAAGCCACCGATGGGTATCTAGGGTGGCAGCAGCCTGCGACTTGAATTTGAGTTTCCCTGTGGCTAACTAACTTGAGGGCTTTTGTTCTGAAGTCTGTTTATGGGTCCACTCACGCGCTCGCTATCTCTCTTCTGTAACTTGCTTCTATTTCCCACGGGAGCATGAGGGTGAGCTGACAACTATTTCAGAGTTCCTTATTTTACTAGTATACTTGTCAGAAGCAGGTCCAGAGTGTGAACCCTAAACCTTGAGGACAGTCATCCCTTGCCCAGGTCCATGCCACAGTCGTCAGGCTAACCTGACAGCCTCGTCCAAGGGACAGCATTCTAGCTGGCCTTCTGTATCTTTTCGCTCCTTGTTATAAAGGGAAGACAGGAACCTTTGAGAATGGTGGGAGGTTCCGGAGGAATCAGAATGGGAAAGAGGGGTGTGGAGAGTTCTCCTAAGAACTCAACTGTGGGACCTTGAGAAAAATCACTCAGCTCTTTCGGCCTTCAGCTTTCAGTGACAAGGATGGCAAACAAGTTTCATTTTCAGGGCTGACTCCAAGCAGCTGAGGGTTGTTATCTGGAGCCCTGCAAAAGGAGTCTGATGCCAAGTGTAACCTCAGTGGAAAACAGCTCTGTAGTTAATTACTGACAGGGGAATAGAAGGGCAGGCTTTCGGATCCTTTAATTCTGATATTCTGTGTATGAGAAATTATTATACAGTCTAAAAATGGGCTTTCAGTTAATGACAGATAATAAGGTAAAAGCAATTCCTAATTTTCAAATAATTGGATGGTAATAGGGAACATTTAATAACACTGTACATATATTTAGTTCCTGAAAGTGATGGTTTTGCAGGAAAGCACTTGAGAGTTCTGCAATGTCATCATGAGCATCCATGAGCATACACCAAATACATGAAAGCTCTGGCTGATAAAAAAAAAGTTCTGCTGGCAGCTACCCCTCTACCTGGTCCCTGCCGGCTAAGAAATTCTAGTGGGCAATCTGTGTCTTAGCCAGGTGGCTGTCCTATGAGACAGAAAGGGGTTGTGGTCAGCCAATCACCAACTACTACTGCTTTCCAGTGAGGACGAATTGGCTTGCTCCTGTCCTTAGGAGATCTGTCAAAGGCACAGCCAACCCTCCTATGAAAACTGCTCTGGCTGTTCTCAGGGCGGGGCTGTGTGGCTACCATCAGCTGTGGCCTTGTCCTTGTTGTCCCAGAGAGAATCCCTCTTCTACACATGAGGCTCTGCCCTTTTCGGCTCCCTCAGGAGCGCTGTGACTCTGGGAGTGAGAAGAGCTCCACCATGGCCGTGTACAGGGAGGCAAAGCCTTGTCCGGCTCCGACAAGGCCTGCCTGTATTTCCGGTTCTTGGGTTTGACGAGATACCTTCATATTTTGACACATTGTCATCTTGAAAGACACATTTTTTTTTTTTTTTTTTTGAGGTTAGCTGAAATATTTCCTCAGCACTACCAGAAGGGCCACTCATGCAGGCTTACGACAAAGATAAAAGAAGATGAAAAGAAAAAGAAAACACAAAAAGAGAAAGAAAATGTGGAATAGGAGAAAGAAGAAACAGTATGAAGGAAGAAGTTCCTGGGGAAAAGATAAGAATACGGAAGAATGAGCGACAGCAAGCTGATGCAACTGTCTGTGCTCTGAAAGTCAACCTGCCTTTAATAATAGACTGAGGAAATTAAAGAACAAAACAAAACCCTTTTCAGGGGCTGGAGAGATGGCTCTGTGGTTAAGAGCACTGTCTGCTCTTCCAAAGGACCCGGGTTCAATTCCCAGCACCCACATGGCTCACAACTGTCTGTAACCTCAATTCCAAGGGATCTGACACCTTCACACTAATGCACATAAAATAAAATTTAAGGAAAAAAATAATCGATTGAGGAAACAAAGCAGGAGGTTCACAATTGTGAGAGAATGACATGACTCTAATAGACCAACATTTCCACGAGACCTGAGTGAAAAAGCCAAGGTGCAGGACAGTGTATGTCGTGTGGCTTCCCTGGTGCCAATAATCCAACAACCTAGTCAGACAAAATGCAAGGTCAGGACCAGGGAGGAGGCTCACCCACTAGCGTGCTTTCTGTACAGTCACAAGGACCAGCCCGTGGGCTCCCCAGCACTCATGCAAAAGCAATGCATGGTGGCACACATCTGTGACCTCTGGATGGAGGAAGGAGGCCGGTGGGTCCTGGGGCCCTGCTGGCCAGACCGTCTCACCAGATGGTGAGGTCCAGGTTCAGAGAGGCCTGTCTTAAAATGCACATGCATTCATAGAGAACACACACACACCTGCTTAGAGAGGTGACCTCTGAGGAAACAGGATTTGGGGTGATAGGCAGGGTTTCTATCCTTATTAAACATTCCCGGCTATTCTACTCTTTTTTTCAGTGAGAGTGTTTTATTACGGTGGCATTTAAAAAGAAAAACTAAAGCAAAACAACAGAACCTGAACAAACAGGAAGCATTACCTTGGCTCTGGCCTCCCGGGCAGCCTCCGCCTCCGCAGCCATGGCTCTCTGCAGCTGCACTGGCAGTTTCACGTCCTTAATCTCCACGCGCTCCACCCTTATTCCCCAGTCATCAGTGGCGTCATCCAGCGTGCTCTGGAAAGAGAAGTGAGGCGCCACGGCTCCTGTCCAGATGTCCAGAGCAGCCGCAGCCACTGGGATGTGGTGTAGGTAAGGTTTGGTGAGGCAGGGGCGTGGGGAAATGCATGATTCTGCTACTGATGAGCTAATGTGGGCTGGCAAATGTCTAAGGGGCTGTAAAGGAACTGTCTATCCGTAGTCTCCGCTGCAACTATTGCAAATAGTCTGCCCTGCGCCATAGAACTACCTGTGTAATGCACAAGTGAACACTGTATTCCAGTGAACTGTCGCAAATATAGCAGCCAGCCTTGGAGCTCAGCTCACCAGTAGCCTGCCAAAGGCCCCACCCCGAGTTAACGTGACGCATGCACGCCTGTCTCTCCTTCCTCCTCTACAAGGGCAGGAGTGAACGATACTCTCTGTGTCTGTGATGGATCGTAGGATCGTGCATTTTTAGCAGGGAGGTGACAGTAATGCTGAGGAAATGCAAGTCCCACCCGGGCCGCAGAGCTCGTTAGAGGCACTCTGAGCTGTAGAGTGACTGCCTATTTCAAAACCAAAGAAATCACAGATTTTAACTGTGAGGAAACCTCTACGAAGAGCAGGAATTTATATTTACAAGGCTGTAACTTTTTGAACAAGCTATTAACATCTAGGTCACAGGCGAGACTGGAAAGCATGGCAATTACATGGGGATCCATGGGACATGTCCATAGGCCAAAACTTATTATACTGTCTTGCAGAATAGCCCCAAAGCCATTATGATCTACGAGGAGGATAATGTGGATTCAGGGGAAGACACCGGAAGAGATTTTAAAACAGCATGCACATGAGTGCCGTGAACCCATGGGTGTTAGTCTGAAAACATTTCTACAGAGTCTGAAAAACCTAAAAAGAAAAGGGCAGCCATCCCCACGTCTGGGTGAACAGCCATGGACTCGGCTTCAGTTCTCTGTCTCTAGTTAGCTAACCAGCAGTGAGCATGCCTCACCTGCACATGGTGTGATCTCTCCTTACCTGCATGTGGTGTGCAATCTCTTCTCTGTCAGAGAGGATCTGAGACAGGTTCTTGGTGCCCAGCGCATTCCTGAGGGTGGTTTGTGCCAAAAGACGGGTTGCCGAGTCTGCATTGGTGATATTGGCCACAGCCAGGGTTGCATTCTGAACGCGGTAATAAACCACGCCGTCCACACTGATCGTCACTGAATCCTTAGTGAGGACCTACAGGAGGAAGGCGATCACAGCTGCCTTAGCCTCTTCACTGTCACAACAAATGCCATCCTACGAACCCTTAAGCAATAGCTGAATTTCTCCGGTAAGGCATCAGGTTATGTAGAGACTTAACGGAACATTCTTATTTATCCAGGTCCACAGAGTCAATTCCTCAGCACATTTTGAGATGCCATTCAAAAGTGGCATTGTTCTGGCTCGTTTCTTCCCACCATTTACTGTCTTCTCAGGAGCGCTGTCCTGGGCACATCGATTGTGCCTCTGTGGAGTGACGCACTGAGCGGGCTGTGCGGATGCCTCTGCTTCTCCCCTAGACTGTGAGTTTCTTAGGGACAAGCTCTTCTGTTACTCTAGCACTGGCAGTGTGACTGACACATGGCAGAGGGTCACTAGGTGAGAGGTGAACTGAGATCCTAGGAAGGGAATGGTGAACCATGTGACCCGCCAACCCCTCCGCCTCCTACCCTAGTTCTGCCGCCCGAGGAAGGGGGGAGGGAGGGGGCGTCACGCAGGAAGTCTTCTGAAGGCATCCCGGCTATGTCAATGAGAAGCTGGGCAGCTACGAGGCCAGGCCGAGGCTGGCGGTTAGCTCTGCCAGGCACCGAAGCAGCGCTCTCTCTTGTTTGTAATCTCAAACACCTCTGACTTGAACAGGGGGATTTGTTAACAAATGCGCGGGTCTAATATTACCGTCTCGTGAGAGCGCCTGTCACAGTGCGGTAGGGAAAGGAACGCTGCTCACAGCTTCCTGCCGCTGTGGCCGCCACAGTCCAACCTGCGGCTTCCCTGAGCACTGGCAGAGCGGGTAGTGTCCCCCTCTGCAGTAGGATCACAAGGGCTGGGAAAGAGTCGCTTGCCAAGTTTTCAGCAAAAGGCAGAAGCTCACAGCCACAAGCCAGATGCCCGCAGTGTCTGCACAAGAAAATGCCACCATTCCCAGCCCCTTGAAAGGGCCCCAGAGAGCCCGTCTTCCTGAGTGACAGGGAACGTGGAGAATCCGAGATGCTCTCAGGTTTCTTCTCGAAAGGGTTGGGTGGGAATTATTTCTGGCTCACTGACTTTGTGTGGACTGAAAGGTCTGACCTTACCGAGTGCTTGGATCAGTACCAGGTAGGGAGCCCAAACTGGCTCCTGGATTTTGTGATTCCTGACAAGCTGGGCTCCAACACCACGTTGAGCTCCCGGCCTGTGCCAGGGAGCACTGTCCCACAGCTAGCCCCCCAGCAGCCTGCGGGTTTCCTGTCTGCGCTGTTACTATGTCTCCTCACAGATGGGTACCAAATGGCCACGGAGAGCTGGGGTCCGCTGCACTTGCCCCTGAGCTGGGAAAACAACAGACAGAGAATCCCAGAAGCTGGGAGCTGAGGATCTCTCTCAGTGCGACCACCTCAGTCTAGGAACTGGCTGTAACCACGAGCTGTTTGTGAAGAAATCTGAAAAGGCTCGAAATGACCACAGAGATTCCTAAGATGCCAAATGGGCAGGTTCTAATTCTTCTGCTTTTAACCAATTTATCTCTAATGACAAGGAAGACCCTTAGAAAGAATGTTGAACTAGATTCTTTGTTTTTCCTGTCGGAGACCCATGAAAGAGAGCTGTGGTCAGAAAGATGATTCCAACAATGATGGTTCTCAGGCACCACACCGTGTTTCTAATGACAGTGACAGGCGCTCACACAGTGCTTCATGTTCAAGCCCCATGCATTTCACTCACTCCTTACAACACCCTATCAAGTAGGCCTTACCATTACAACCTCCATTTTACAGTTGAGGACATTGGGACACAGAATTTAAAGACCCGCTCAAGGTCACAGAGCCGGGAAAAGAGCCGGCAGCCAGGGTTGCAAGCTCTGACCTCCCAGTGCCAGGGAGCCACAGTGAGAGCTGCTTACCTCCTGAGGAGGAATATCGAAGGAGATGGTTCTCATGTCCACCTTGATGAAGCTGTCAGTGCAGGGCAGGATGAAAAACAAACCTGCAACACACAGGACCAGAGAGACCAATTAGGCTCCACTTATCCTCCATCCGGTCTATGGAGTCAGCTCAGGCTGTTGTTCCTTTTCTTTTTTTTTAAAGATTAATTTATTCATTATTTATACAGTGTTCTGCCTGCATGTATGCCTGCATGCCAGAAGAGGGCACCCGATCTCATTTTTCAGATGGTTCTGAGCCACCATGTGGGTGCTGGGAATTGAACTTGGGACCTTTGGAAGAATAGCTAGTGCTCTCAACCTCTGAGCCATCTCTCCAGCCCCAGACTGCTATTCTCAACATGGCTCGTTCACTTCTCACCTCTAAGAATTTACGTAGAGCTTCTCTGGACCCATTTTCCTGAGCCACAGCCCAGAGCATGCAGGCCTCTCCGGAATCAGCATGCCTCTCTAGTCACTTTCCCTGTCATCAGGTCCCGTGTTCTCACTGGACACCGTTCCTGGAGTACCACTCTTCTGCTGCGTTCTCTCCCCTCCATTGCTCTGCATGTGTTGCTGTTTCTGTCAGGAATATCCCTGTGGCAAATACTCTGCACCTCAGAACTCAGACAGGCCAGCCGCTGTCGGTATTTACAGTACTTGGAAGGCTGAGGCAGGAGGACTGCTCAGAGTTTGAGGCCAGCTTAGGGAACACAGCGAGTTTCAGGTCAACCTGTGAGATGCTGTCTCAAAAAGAAAGCAAGCAAACAAAGCAGAGGGGCTGAGACGATTCAGTGGCAAGAACATTCACTGCGCATCTAAATGACCCTTCCCAGCACCCATGCAGACAGCTACAGCTGCCTCTAACACCAGTGTCGAGGGCTCTAGCTCTCTTCTGGATTCCAAAGGCACCTGCAACTCATGTGCACACACACACATAGACAAAAAATTTAAATAATAAAAATAAGTACTTAAGAAAACCAAACAATGAAATGGAAAAGCTTTGTCCCTTCTTCAGGTCAGTTGCTCTTCTCGGGGTCTATTGCACTTCTCTGTCAGGGTTCGGTGGCTACTGATTCATAACACTAAATGCTGGGCTTGGAATCTGTCTCTTTGTTGGTGTCTGGTTGTTGGGCGGCATGCCCTTTGATAAGGGGACTGTATTCTGCTCTCCCTTGAGTTCCCAGAGCCTCCTCGGGCATGGTGGCACATCCTGTAAGGACTAAAGTCCTTTCCTTGGTTAGGTTCTCCTGCTCAGCCTCCCATTGCCAAGGCCATTGCTGGCCAAGGCCAGTGATAACCTAATCGCTCTAAACAGATAATAAAGGGAAGGGTGGGGCGGCATCCACACTGGCCAGAGCCACTGCTATTGTTATATAGCTTCTGCTCCAAGCAGAGACCTAACTGTGGAACTCACATCAGTAAGACAGTTGAGTCTCGCAGACTGGAGGAAAGGCTCAGCAGTATAGAGCACTCGATGCTCTTCCAGAAGACTAGAGTTCAATTCCTAGCACCTACATTAGGTGGCTCCCCAATTCTGTAACTCCAGCTACAGGAGGGTCCCATAGCCTGGCGTCTGTGGGTACCAGTACACACGTGCACATACCCACACTAGATATGCACATACGCAGAGGGGTTTAAAAAAAAATACAAAAACACAACACTTTGGTTTCCAGGCCGAAACCTAGTACTGACCAGGTCCTCTGGCTCCTCCTTGCAAAATGCGACCCAATCTAAAGATGATGACTCTTTCATACTCTTTTACAATCTGGAATAAAGACACAGATGAGAATTAATCATGATGACCACGGACATTTACGTGCCTAGGTCCCCAAGCGTGTTTCTGCTCTGACCAGGTTTAATGCCTCCTGTTGCTTTCTCCCTTTCCTGACAGTCTCTATAAGCAGCACATCTGGTGTGTACGCTTTCCAAGCACAATGCTCATTTACTATATACACATGCTTTGTTTGTTTGGCTAATTTATTTCAATTTTTATTTTTTATATTAATTACAGTTTATTCACTTCGTATTCCAGCTGAAGCCCCCTCCTTCCTTCCCTCCCAACCCCACCCTCCCTTCCTGTTTTACTAATTTTAAAAGCAATAGACCAGCAGCGATTGATGACATATGCCTCTAACCCCAGAACTCTACCGGCAGAAACAGAAGGATGGTGTTGCTGAGCCAACCTGAACTACAACGTGAGTTGGGGTCAGCCTGCACTGTCTAAAAGCTCTTGCTTCAAAACACAGAACAAACACACTGGTTGTGGAACACAGAGAAGGCCATCCCCACACCCACCCTTGACTGTTAGCATCCCTAACTGAGTTAACTCATCCTTAACATGAGTTAGCATCCCTTACTAATGTTTCATTTGCTCAGAAAAGCTTATAGCTCTTCTTCTAATTCCATTAATTACAATACAATTCATCAGAAGATGCAGGCAGCACACCCATTATTTTGGGAATCTGCAAATGACAGTTGTTCGTTATTAACCTAGGTCTTCGTGACTCTGTAGGAAGAAGAGCTGTGCTGGAGAGCATCCACTCCATGCCAGGCTCTTCACTATGTTAAAGCAGGCGGCTCCCTTCCTCCCCGCCCATCATCCTAAAGGAGGGACTGCCATTTTCTCCGATTTTACAAGTGAGGAGACATAGCAAAGGTGCTGCTGTCAGGGGGCCTGCCACCCAGCCCAGCCATCCTGCTGTAGGACCTTTTCTCAAAGGATCATCTCACACCCCGACACAGAAAACTGTGGCACAGTGATGCTCTCTTTGCCTGTGAGGAAGGGCTGAGCAAATAGTGGCTGCAGACTCTGAGATTCTGATAGAGTCATCTGCAGAATCTACCCAAAAGAGAGATGAAAGAGAAAACACCACAGGCCAGCATGGTCTCCCTTTGTCTGTCCCACAGATCGTGTGGCTTATGGAGGTAGCAGCTGGCCCTGTGTCAGAAGCGAAAGAAATGGCTCTTTACCTTTATGCAAATCCATATTGATAGCGGGAAGGTTATAATTACGAACAAGAAGGAGACGGCCACCAAAATCCAGCCACAGGGTCCCAGATCTGCCTTGGCATTTTCTGTTGAGAACAAAACCGTACAGCCTGTTATGGGTACGGTCACTTTATCCCCACCGCTCCCCGCACAGCCCTGTACAGCCCTGTGCTTGTCATTTTGCTGGCTGACCTACCTGCGTTTCCTTTTCTAATCCTCATATGGCCCTGAAACACGTGTGCCTGCTCTTCTCTCATATCACCCATCTTTTTGCCCAGCATATGTTTATTGAATACTTCCGTGGTTGCTTTGTCTCATGATGTGAAATAACAAAAATGAAGACTATTCAGCTTCAAACAAGAGCCAAGTATAGTGAGGAATAAGACAGTTATGATGCCAGGTGCAAACAGAACTGGGCGGGAGAGTGGCACACTCTGGGGTGGAGGCGAGAGGGCGTGCATGGCCACTGTCAGCATCCTAACAGAAAGGAAAATGCCGACAAAGAGGCAGGGAAGAATGCAGATGGTTCAGGGCACAGCATGACTCCAGATGAAAAACTGTGATCCAGGCACATAATCCCATTAGAGCGTCTTTCTACAAATTACTTCTGCAGGCTGCTGCCCTGGGCTTACGAGCCACCACCCACTTCCTGATTAGTGGCCAGGCTGTTTCTGGTTTTTTGCTATTAAAGACAATTCTGTGATGAGCATCATGGTACTTTCTCCCTCATCTGCATATCAATAGTGCTTTTGTTGAATTACAAATGCAATACATACCCGCCTGCTGCAAAGAGTGTACAAAAGTATAAAAAAGAAAGGAAAATTACTTTAAACTCAGAGACAGTAACTATTTCGGTACATTCTACCAATCTCTCTCCTGGCTCACACTCTACTTTAAAATCCAAATAAATAAAATTAGTAGCAAATTTCCCCTTCTAGCAATTGTTCTTTTGCATCTTTCACTAACCTCTATAGCCATGAACTTGTGCTTTTCCTGTTTTTGACTTAAAAAAAAACAAAGTTGTTATGCTTCTGAGGTTTAAAATGTCAAACAAGGGGCCAGTGAGATGGCTCAGCAGCTAAAAGTGATTGCTGCCGAAATGGAGAAACTTGAGTTTGGTCCCTGGAATCTGCATGGTAGAAGACAGACCTGACTCCTGCAAATTGTCCCCGACCTCCACCTGTGTGCTGTCACACTGGCGCTGTGGCATGCACATGCAGAGACACGTTTTTACAAGTCAAACAGTCCTATCAGTTAACAGAGTGGCGCGGTGTCCGCTCTGCCCACTCTTCACCACCTCTGTGTCCTCAAAAACAAACCAAGCTTTTGGCTGTGCTTGCCAGCGTTCAGCGCCAGGGTCTCAGTAACCCACTCGCTTGGGCTCTCCTTGCATTTTTGGTTCTGAGCATTTTCAGTTCTGAGCAGTAGTACTACATGACTTTCACTATGGAAGAAAAATTGTTCTCCCTTATCATTTCCTCCAGAATGAATGTAAAACTGCACTGTAATTTTGGTTAACCATCAATATGCCAGTCAGAGCTAAGCCATGCGGCAAAGTACAAACCAGCGTTCCTTTCTAGAATTTTTTTTCCTGTTTTTTTTGGCTTTGCTTAGTCTAATACAGTTGCAGCTGACCCAACCTTACTCCTTAGTCCACGGTCTAAATCTCCTTCAGAACAGCCAGGAATTTCATCAGTTCCTTCTCTGGTTTGCACAACTATTATTCTGCAGGTGCCTCCCACTCTCAAGCCTGGGAATCCTCCACGTTTTCCTGTGCTGAGTTTTTACTTTCTTTGTTTAGTGTCTTCCTCGGTTTAGTTTGTTTTCTTGGAGCAGACAGGGACTGAGAGAGCCGTGGAGCGTCTCACCAGCCTCAGGCTTCTGCCATCACTTCAGGTGCGGCTTTAGTTATAGAAGCGACATGAGGGGAGAGCACGCCAGGCATGTGTTGCTGCTCAGGAGAAGGGTGAAAGCAGAAGCTCCTGGTTGGGGACAGGAAAGAGAGAAGGTGTCGGCAGCTAGAGTAAGCGCCCTGAAACACAGAAGGGTAACCAGACAGGAGTTTGATTATGTTTGTAATGTTCTGATCTGAGTCATGGCATCAGGGGGCGGCCCTCAGGTACACTTAAAGTGACCTAAGCTCCTCTTGACACTTCTAAGTCACAATTCTTAGGCAGGGCCCCTATGCCCCACTGCTTGTGAGGAACTTCTGGCAGGGATTACACAAATGGTGCTTTATAAGTGAGAGGACAGAAGCAACGTGCCTTCCCACAGTACACCTGGGCAATTTCCTACAGGGCACGCATCGAGTTAAGAATACTTTTTCAATCTGGTGTACAGCTCTAATTTTTACAGCCATCCAGTTAAGTTTTGTTTTGTTTTGTTTGTATGTTTGTTTTGGTTTTGTTTTTAAATAGACTCTTGCTGTGTAGCTCCAGCTAGCCTGAAACTTACAATCCTCCTGCCTCAGCTTTCCGTGCGCTGGATTAGAAGAATGCCCACCATGACTGACTAGGCTAAATGATTTTAATTCCATTTTATAAACAAAGTAACAGAAAAAACATGATTCTCACAAGGTCATGCCGGGAAGGACAGGGATTCAAATACAATGCCCTTACCCTAAAGACCATGCTCTAAGTCTCTTTGATCCTTCACCATTAAATATAAAAGGTTGTCGTTAAAGAAGTATTCATGTTTGCAGTACTTTCGTAACATAATATCCAACCAGGAAACATTGAGGTAGGCAATTCTGAGGGTGAAATCTCATATTCTGACAGAGGAAGCCCTTCCTCTTAGGTGGACTTCCTATTTTGAGCAGAAAAGCTTCAAGGTTCTAAGCTGTACTTATGTCTGGATTTTATGTGAACTGGATTCCAAAAGACAGACAATTGGCCGCAGATGTTTATCTGGTAATATTTGGTGCTTTCTAAAATGTTGCCCTAAGTCCCTCACACGCCAGGCAGAGTGCAGAGCTCCTGATCGTAAAAGATTACAACCCCTTAAGAGCAGGAATGGTTCTTAATAATTTTTTCTTGGGTCTGTGGACCCAACCCAAGATCTTGAACATGCTAGGCAAGTGCTATTCCATGAATTAGATAGTCTCTCTTGCTCATTTTGATGCTCCCCAACGTACGGCACAGCATCCTGCAAAAAAGGGACCACCGGGAACTTAGTTTCTTCACTGTACATGACAGTGAGTACTAGACTGGCCTTCTGGAACTGAGGTGTCCCTTAATAAATAGACAAGAGGCTCCTGGGACCTTTTACTGCACTCAGTGAAAAGAATATTCCACTCAAATTTCCATGATGAAAACTGGAGAAATCATATTTGCTCCATTTGAAAAAAAAATCCTCCTAAAAACAAATGAATTCACCACTTATTTTATGTTAACTCAGCCAGCCTCTGCTCCAACATGCAAAGATCTGCAGAAAGTACATTTTCAAATGTAACTTGCTCATATCAAATGCATGGCTAGAAATACTGAGGCATTTCCATGCCAAGGAAAGTGGCACTATTTCACTTATTTTCTTAATCTCCATACAGTGAAATGATCCTATTCTCAACCATCAAAATTCTTTCCCACCTGATCACAGTTCAGCATGGTGTATAAAGCACATTTCTCAGGACATGAGGTCCCTCTGGGCTCAGAAATGAATCTCAGTCACCCCTGATTGTGGGGCAAATAAGAAGAAGCAATTCTCAGATACCCACCAAAATCTCATAAGCCTCATTTCCTCAGAGTTTCTCAGTTACTAATTTAGGGTGTCTCCTCCCGTTAGCTTACAAGGTAAATGACAAGTTACAGGCAATCAATATTCCTGAGATATTTGGCCTTAAATACTCGTCAGTGCTTCACTGGGATCAGGGATCCCACAATATTTGGTTATAAACACTGTTTTGCCATGTTTTTGTGCATTTTCTTTTTCCACTGTGAAACTCCTTCCTGAAAACTGCATTGAAAGTGAACTTTTAACCAATGAGAACTAGGACCTAGGGAGATGACTCAGCTGTTAAGAGCACCGGCTACCCCTCCATAGGACCTGAGTTTGATTCTCAGCGGCCCCTGGAACTCCAGCGCCGGAGGATCCAGTGCCTTCTCTGGCCTCTACAGACCCTGCACGTATTTTGTGCACAGATATAACTGTAGGCAGAAGACTGACGCAAATAAAAACAAATAAACCGGGTATAGTGCTGCATGCCTCTGATCCCAGCACTCAGGAGGCAGAGGCAGGTGAATCTCTTGAGTTCAAGGCCAGCCTGGTCTACAGAGTGAGTTCTCTGGGTAGCCAGGGCTACACAGAGAAATTTTATCTTGAAAAAACCAATTAATAATAATAATAACTTTAAAAGGACCTAAAATACACACACACACATATATATACACATTTAAGTTTATTATTACTCAAATCGAGCTTACCTCAAGAAAACTTATTTAAAAACAAACCAAATTATAAAACATAAAAGTACAAGTTGTACAGTAACTTCTGTTGTCTGGCTACAGGGAAAGTAAGAGTGCTATCCAACCTGTGTCAGCTGGTTTATTTTAAGAGGAACTGGAGCTAGCATGATGAGAAGACTGGCGAGTAATGGATCCCAATCACCATTGAGATTTAATTACAGTAAAGTTCAAAATATATTGGATTTCCTATGCTGAGAAAAGCCAGAAACATGTCTTATATCTAAAATTAGGCCTCAGAGTCAAATGCACCATTGCACAAGGTGACAGGAATGGGCTGAGGAGTTGCTGAAACCATCCAAGTTGCGGTATTTAAGAGGCAATCCTTTCCTTTCCCTTACACAAACAGTGGGTGAAACACTTTCTGTTGTAAACTCTCATGAATATGTATTGTCTGGGTACAGAGAGATAGGATGGTTGGGAATTTTATCTTAAAAACACATGCTATCCTGGTCTAACAGTTCTAGGGGTAAATGGCTGGTGAAAATAAAGTCTTTGCAAATTTTTATTTTTCTTCTTAAAGCATTTATATTCAAGATACAACTGTTTCTCCTCCCCTTTCTCTTCTTCCTCTTTTCTTCTTCTTCTTCCTCTCTTTCTTTACCATTATTTCATACCAATCATACCAA